TTCACCTCACGTTTTCTTAGCACGGGATAAGCCTTCGCCTCACGTTTTCTTAGCACGGGATAAGCCTTCGCCTCACGTTTTCTTAGCACGGGATAAGCCTTCGCCTCACGTTTTCTTAGCACGGGATAAGCCTTCGTCTCACGTTTTCTTAGCACGGGATAAGCCTTCGCCTTACGTTTTCTTAGCACGGGATAAGCCTTCGCCTCACGTTTTCTTAGCACGGGATAAGCCTTCGCCTCACGTTTTCTTAGCACGGGATAAGCCTTCGCCTCACGTTTTTTTAGCACGGGATAAGCCTTCGCCTCACGTTTTCTTAGCACGGGATAAGGTATTTGAAGAAACCCTATAACTCGACTCAAATTCCTACAATGTTGAATTGACTCGCCGTTAACCGTGACTCGATCCCACAGCGGGGTACTTTTGTAAAATATTTCTGCTCGGAATTTACTTTCGCTATTTTCACTGAAGGGACGATCCAGCGAATGTTTCTTTTCTTCCTATATTTTACATTCAGCTCATCAAAAATCAGTGAAAATAAACTCTATACAAAACATCAAAAAATTATTTTCAGCGAAAATTAATACCAGGTAAAATCACGTAAGATCATGTACGTAAAATACGTTATTAATCGACTTTGACCTTTCGCAATGTCAAATAACGATTGGTATGTTTAGTATCTGCCATATATGCTTCGAGAAACAGCGCCAAGTATCGATTGCCTATCGTGAACACTTTGACACGATATTAATGACAATGATGTCTGGAAGATCTACATTGCAATCATATACGTGACAACGTTTACATATTTTAATTAAAGGTAATATTTATTGCAATATCCCTGAACAAACAAACAATTCAAGTCATGTACTTGCCAAGTCAGCGAGCTACACGCACGAAGCTCCAAGCTACATCCCCCCAATAACTTATCGAACCATACAACACCGCTTTGCATACATGCAGTAGTGAGGTTATATGTTCATAGATATTTACAATCGAAACAAATTCACACTATTGTGTCCATAATAGAGAAAATAGCAAAATATTGAATGAAGCAGAGCACTCATGGGTATTTTATGTAGTTATCTGCTTACAAACTTCTAATTAAATATATTACCTTGTTCGTACGTACGTACAACATATGCTGTGTTTGAAGTGCGATCATGTAATTGCCGCAATATGCAATCGTTACAATGCTAGTATCTTTTTTTCGGAAGCAACTGACACCTTACCAATATAATCAATATAAATTAAAATAAATATGCTAAGAGGTAGTACTTATTGTTTTTATTTATTTCATTCCGAACTTAACACCTTCCATGATTCTGTGTGTAATATACCCCTCCCTTCTTCCAACAATTGTGCCAGCTTCTCAAAAAACTTATCCAATAAATAAAACAGGGAATGTGCGATTTTTAATAATAGTTCTTGATATATCGAAACCACATGACAATTATTTATCTAATTATATTTAGCAAATTCGCTAAATAAAAGTGTACAAGTTATTTATTTCCATCTTCAAGTTCATTCTAAAACAATTTTAAAATACACAGCGAGTGGTTCTTGAAAAAAAAATCCCCATATATTTGTTCTCGCGGCGAATTTTCCCCTTCCTTTGCTACTTCGGAATTTTTCCCGCCCGCCTGTCTCTGTGGTGCGGTTTTATCCACCCACCGGCCATAATGTTTCTAATTTTCCCCGCCTTCTTGCTTTTCTGGTATATTTTCTCCACCCACTCATGTTGCTCTTTCGAACAGCTTTTTGCACGTCATCAGTGATTTTGTTTTTATATCAGATACTAGTATATTTAGAAATTGTCGACCGACGTACATGGTCATAAGGGTCAGTACTTATTTTCAGACGTATGTAATTCCATTCCGAACTTAATTTAAAACAGACATTCGCTGTAAACTTATTTTACTAGTAAAACATGGTTGAACATTATAATTTGGTGGCAAGATAGAGAATAGAACAAAATATTTACTGTAACATCGTTTTGAGAAAAACACCTCCAAACTATAAGTAAAGAAGAAAACAGGGCACAGTTGTTGCACCGTGTCTTTCTTTCAGATTTTATAATGGTAGATCCCAAGAAACTAATTTCATAGTGAATGAACATAAAAACGTACGGATTTTCATTTCTGACTTTGTTGCTATTAAAATACATATTTTTGTTGTGAAACCATGCTCGTAGAGTCGTACGCAAAGTTTCCCGGGACGCAGAGGCGCATGTCAGCCAGCTGACGATTCGTGGATTAATACTTGGGCGATACAGTTTGCATGGATCATTCAGCTGGCAGTGAACGGTAATAGTTGATTCCGGACGTTGCAGATTAGACCTAAAACACACGCACAGCTAAAAATGTGGATTCCCGCGAAAAGCAATATAAATTATTCGCGGGGGGTCGAAACTCTTTATTATGTAAATGAATGTTTGGAAGTAAAACACGGCGGCATGCTGTTGCGGTCGATCGCTTTGAATGCATTGCGCTTACAGTGGTCGTGCATGTGTAGATTCCTAAGGCACTCCTCGATGTATTTCATGTATGTGACATGTATACACGCTGACATCACCTTGAAAGATCCACTGGTAAGTATAATTTAGAGCATACACCGACGATTAGTGTGATTCCATTGTAAACAACCGCCGCGATACTCGTCTTCTATTTCGAAATGGGGAGCCGCGCATTGTGGGCGCACGGTAGCTGTTCGATTCACGGTAATTTCCGGAGTACCACACGTGTTGGTTTATTTGTAACAACAAACCCCGGTAGCCGTAGCCG